GCAAGAAAAGACCCACACGATGAAATACTTAAGATAACGTATAAAAGGTATAGGAATTACTGTAATAATCTTTTAAAACATCTAAAGCGTAAATATGAACGAGAATTACTTGCAAAATCGGTTTCAAATAATAAATTACTTTGGAAGAATATTAAAAACATAACATACTGCAATAAATCTAAGGATCAAAATACAGAGTTATTAAATATAAAATCATCACCACTGCAATCAATCAACTATATTAATGAATACTTTGTCAATATTGGTAAAAAATTAGCACAACAACTAAATTCAAGCGGCCATAACATACAACATCATAACTTGCCTACACAGTCTAATTCCTTTGTACTATTAAATACGGACACAGGTGAGGTGGAGAGCATATTAATGAATTTAAAGACTGATAGTGCCCCTGGTTGGGACGGGATCTCCACTAGATTTTTAAAGTATGCCAAGAACGAACTGATACCAATTTTCACCCACCTCACTAACCTATGTTTTGAAAAAGGCGTTTTCCCGGAGAAACTAAAAAAATCTTCTATTGTACCAATATTTAAGGGAGGGGACAGAGGCAACATCAGTAATTATAGGCCCATATCAATATTACCAGCTATATCAAAAATACTTGAAAAATTAATTAATATTCGACTTCTTAATTATTTAAATTCTTTTAATATATTATCTCCTTATCAGTTTGGTTTTAGGCATGGCAAATCTAGTGAGGATGCAGTTGCTCGTATGACATCATTGGTGGTTGATGACTTAGATAAAGGTCAAAAATGCTTAACTGTGTACTTAGATCTCATGAAAGCGTTTGACACGGTTTCTGTCCCCCTACTCTTATATAAACTGGAAAAAGTCGGAGTAAGAGGTACTGCCCTTAAACTTTTTAGAGACTACCTCTCCAATAGAAATCAATGTGTAAAAGTTGACCAGTTTATTAGTAACGACGCAACTATATCATATGGTGTGCCACAGGGCAGTATATTGGGGCCTTCCTTGTTTCTGCTTTACATAAACGATTTGTGCAACTTAAAAATAGAAAACGCACAAATAATTTCGTATGCTGATGATACAGCAGTTATCTTTAAAGGTAAATCGTGGCAAGAAGTTAAGGAAAGGGCAGAATTTGGGATGGCCCAGGTGGCAAAATGGTTAAATTTGAATTTACTGACCCTTAATGCAGCAAAAACTAATTATATCTGTTTCAGTATATCTAAACGCACGCAACCCTCGGAAGATTTCAATATAAGGATTCATACGTGTAACAACATAAATAACTGCGCCTTTAATAATAACTGTCCATTTATAAATAAAGTAACATATACACAATATTTAGGTGTAATAATAGACCAGAAATTGTCATGGTATTCTCACATAGAACATGTATCTAACAGAATTGCTAAATTAAATTGGATATTTCGTACCTTAAGACATGTGGTGCCAAAAAAAGCGTCCACTGAACTTATGCAAAACAAATTATTAAACGATATATACACAGCTTTGGTACAATCCGTTTTGGGGTACTGTATATCTATATGGGGGGGGTGCTTGCAAAACAAAATTTATCCACTTGGAACGTGCGCAACGTGGTTTAATTAAAAATATGTATTTTAAAAACAGAAGATATCCTACTACAAGTCTTTACAATGAAACACAGTTATTATCAGTACGAAAAATTTATGTACTGCACACAATATTAAAGAAACATAAGTCCCTATCTTTTAATCCAAATATTTTACAAAAGAGGAGAAAAGAATTAGTAGCACAAGTTCCCAATACTCACACGTTTTTTGCTAGAGTTCAGTATAGTAAACGCGCAGCAGAATTATACAACAAAATTAATAAACATGTAGGAATTTACACAATGACCCATTACGAATGTAAAAATGCAGTAAAAAAAGTATCTACAACCACTTGATTATGAGGAAATTGAGTCTCTCCTTGAAAAGTCGCTCATATGAATACTCAAATAAGTACAGCACGCACACACACACGCACGCACGCTTGCACTCACGCACGCACACACATACACACACACACACACACACACACACACACACACACACACACACGCCACACACACACACACACACACACACACACACACACACACACACACACACACACACACACCACACAAGCATGCACGTTTTTATATTAGTTGTCTAAAAGTATTTCAATGATTTTGTTTGTGAAGTTGTGGAAGAGCGGAGCCTCCTACTACAGGCGCTCTGTGCTTAAAGGGAGGCTCTAGCCACTTATTTATGTTAAAATACCTTGTGATTTAAATAAAGAATTATTATTATTATTATTATTATTATTCTTTAATTCTACAAGTAATTTATTTAAAGTAGGAACAACTTTTCTTACAGTATACATTTCATGGATTTTGTTTCTTATTGCGCATAAATCGAAATCATCAAGATCCACCGGACGGATCGGTCTTTGACGGTGTTTTCCAGGAGACTTGAGTTTTTGAGATGTAGAGGCAGCAGCTTCACCTTCTTTAGATATTCTACTCATGATTTTCTCCGACATGCCTGAAATAGACACCAAATTTGTATCATTTTATAAAATTAAATATTTATAAAATACAAATACAGATATTATCATAAAAAAATAAATTAAATTAACTGAGATACGTACTTTTTTATTTTAATTCGTAATGTTAGTAATTTCTTATTATTACCCCCTAAAAAATTCCCCCTAAAAAAAAAAATTATATTAAAGCATTTTGCATGAATGGCCTATTTCTTATTATATTAAAGGCATTTTGCATGAAGCTGGCATCCCTATTTTACTAACCTGTCATGGCGGCGACGCGAGTTCGCACTTGATTGAGTGGAATTAACGGGGCTTGGTTTGCCTTTTCTCTCTCACAAAAGGCATGCACCTTCAACACAACCTCTCTTGCACTGCTTCTAAATGGTTTCGGCATAATTAATTCGGAATATTTTAAATAATAACACAAAAACGAGCGTTATAATCACAAACTGACAACAGATTGACAAGCAATAGTGCCAACATCACAGCAGGGGACATCTTACGGTGAACGGGCTATAATAAGAGTACTAACGTACTCAGTTGGCTGTCAACAGTTTCAAATAGGAGTCCATAGAGTAGAGTAATATATACAGAAATAGAGAGCCATCTCCTAGGATTTTTTGTCACCCAATATGAATAGTGTCGCTGCCTGGTATCATATCCCTTGAACTAATCTCAATATCATGTTGACTATAGATAGCTGTATTTAGTTATGTATATACAGCTATCTATACTATAGGCGGTTATATTTATATTTTAAGGGATTAGGGTTCAATTAAAGACGTATTATAGATTTCAGTAATATTAACATTTATTTTTGTTATATATATTTAACATACACGATGTAAAAGCGTCTATTCCGCAAAATATAACACCAAACCAAATTAAATATGTCCACCGGGTTACCGTAATGATAAATGAAAGCGTCTATTTCGCACAACACTACACAAACATATAATGTAATTTCAGCATGAAAATCTAAACAGACAACAAAGAAACAGAGGGCTAATCCCAACTCAACTAAACTTATTGTAGCAACAACAACAACTTGCTCAGCGCTGGTAGCCATTATGTCATATAAAGTTGCTACTTGCCATTTCCAGAATAACCAGAATTGGTGTAGTCGCCAGCTAGCGCACCTTTTAGAATTTAATGTTCGAAAGTTTATGGGGACATAGTACAAGATGGCACTAGTGTGTTTGCAAATTATTGAACCAAATTACTGAACCCCTGTAGGAGTCTCTGCCGGTGGTCCCTAATTGTTCCTCGAGTATAAAGCTTTTTCGCGCTTGAAAAATGATCCAGGTGAGTGGAATTTTTGATGTTATTAAGTGAAATCTTGGTTTTAATATGGTGTACATCTCAAGTCAATATGAGTCCTCTATTAATCAGTAATTCAAATGGCCAATGTTACAATCACTTGTAGCAAACATGTGCCGTTAACTTTGGCCACAGAAAAATAATACTAGGGCTGCCCACTGCTAATTTTAGAATTCGGTACCTACCTACTCATGAGTTGATGATACTTTTTGCTTATAACTTAGTTTTACAATTAGTTTTGGTATAATACCTAGAATACAGTTTAAAATATGTATATTTGCTTATTATTTATGTCCATATGTATTTACAGAATGGATACATCTAAGCCAAAATCAAGAAAAAAGCAAGAAGTCCCAGGCGCCTTAGTGCCCGGCAATATAAAAATTATTCAAATGAAATGCTTGAAATAGCTGTAGATCTTGTTAGAAAAAAACAGATATCAGCAAGAGAGGCGGCGCGACAATTCGCAATTCCTAAACAGACAATATTAAATAAAGTAAACAAGTCTCATACAAAGTCTGTCGGATGTCTAACGCGATTATCTGATGACGAAGAAGCTAAATTTATTAAAGTTTTAATTGCTGCTGGGGAATTCGGATGCCCACTTAGTAAATTGGATCTTCGCCTCGTCGTGTTTGAATACTTGAAAAAGAATGGCCGCGAGGATGTATTTAACGGAGAACCTCCTGGAAAAGCATGGCTTTATAATTTTTTGTCAAGACATTTATCAGATTTGTCAGTTCGTAGCACGCAGAATATTAAAAAGATAGAGCTGAGAAAGGGGTTGATGAGTTCATGGAATATTTTAGAAATTTAGAAGAGACTTTGAAAGATGTTGCTCCATCAAATATACTCAATTTTGACGAAACAAATTTAATAGATGATCTTCAAAATGTATATTTAGGCGAGGAGTAAAATATCCCGAGCAAGTGCTCAATTCAACTAAAGGAGCCATTTCTCTTATGTTCTCAGTTACAGCGAACGGGAGCTTGCTACCTATTTACGTTGTCTATAAGTCAGAGAATTTATATTCTGAATGGATACAGGGCAGACCGCGTGGTACTAGATATAACCGCACAAGATCTGTGTGGTTTGATTCTTTTGTTTTTGAAGATTACTTTAACACAACTATTATGGATTGGGCAAAATCTTTACCTGGTAAAAATGTTTTTACATGCATTATATGCGATAATTTATCAAGCCACTTAAATGTGAGTGTTATCGAATTATGTGAGTGTCACAATATTCAGTTTGTTTTCATTCCATCTAGCTCGACACACATAACACAACCCCTTGACGTCGCTTTTTTTGCACTACTTAAAAAAGTGTGGCGAGCAATATTACTCAAGTACAAAATGGAAAATCCCAACCAAACTACTCTGAATAAGAATCATTTCCCAAAACTTTTACATTCTTTAGTTGATCAAGTTGAACTATATTCATCTAAAAATATCAAAAGTGGGTTCAGAGCAACGGAGATCTACCCATTCAACCCAAGAGAAGTACTGAAGCGTATACCAAAGTATCAAGAAGATGTGGCATCATATGGGATTGACAATGCATTGCTAGACTACTTAAAGCAGATCAGACAGCCAATTCCTATGATAACAAAAAGAAACAAGAAAGTTATGACTGTACCTAGAAAATCAGTAACAGTCGATGATTTACTGCTGACTTCCCAACTCTCAAAATCGAATGTACGAGGCAAAGTCAAGTCATCCAAGAATACTACGACACTCACGAAGGTAGATCCTGCTGCCACACTCGCAAGTGTCTCACTCGAAAATTTTAATAAAAATTACAATTATGACATTAGTTATATTTTAAACGAAAAAGCGGGTCTCATGGAAGCCACAAAAAACACTGATTTAGTATTTGAAACTGATTTACCCGTGATTTCGATAAAATACCAAGACAAGCCCAAAAAGATAAATATTCTATCTGACATCATTTTACCAGAATATAAGACTGAGCCTATTGCAAAAACTAAAACTAAATACTTTAAAGAAATTGATAGAAGCTTTAACATTTTATCACAAAATTTTCTTTCAGAACGCAATATTATCATAGAAAAACCACATACTGAAAATTAGGATGGTAAGGTAAGAAAAATAGATAATATTGCTTTTAATATTAACGTTCATGGTGTTTTAAGTAATGACGATAATGAGGATATTAGGGATGTTGTGAGTTGTTCTGCAAATAGCAGAGAGAAGACTAGCAGTAAAAAAAGGAAGAAAAAACGTCGTTTGAGAAAAACTGTCAAAAAGGAAAACGTCAAACCAGTTAAGAGACCAAGAAAATCTCTAGATAGTTCTACAACTACTTAAAAAGATTGGATTAGCACCCATAGTGATTCTGACATAATTGAAGCACTTAGTGATGTTACAAATTTTGAAATAAGTATGGAAGATTCTACAAATATTGATGAATCTATAAATATGGAAGAATCTATAAATATGGATAAACAAATAATAAAAGAAGATATACATCAAATTGACAAGAATTCAAAGAAAAAAGAGTATTATGAATTAGGAGAAAAAGTGTTGGTAAGATACTATCAGTCAAATAAATGGAAGTACTATGTAGGATTAATTGAAAGTGTTAATGACAATTCAAAAACTTTTAATATATCTTATTACAAATGCATAAAAATAAAGGATTCGGATGATATTAAATTTATTAAACCTAAGCTCTTGGATCGAGATATAGCCGTACCAGAAAGTAACATTGTTAAAATTATTGAACTTTTATAATTCAATGAAAGTCCTGAAGAATATGTGTGATAAGGATTCTGTGTACTATTAAGAATTTGATATTATCTCTTGTGTTATCACAAAAAGTATATTGCTCTATTTCTTTGGTATTTACTAGACACATTCTAGTTTTTATATATATATATATATATATATATATATATATATATATATATATATATATATATATAAGGTATTTACACGCTCATTTCCTAAAGTTCCTAAAGTATGTTTTTCATTTATTATTTTTTGTTTTCAGTACCTAGGTTCTAAATAAACACTTTAAGCTTGGTACCTACTGTTATATATATTTTTATTTATAAATTTGAGTTTTCTCTTTCACCTCAACGTGATAATTAAGTAGTCTTGAGATTACTAAATTGAAAAATGAATCTTTTTTTTTAAGAATTTTGATCTCACAAATACGTGATAGTAATTTAAGTACTTACTCATAACCATTTAATACTTGATATAATTTGATAGTCTATGTTGTTGTCTACTTACTTAGTAAAAAGTACCAAATAAATCTCATATAATAAAATGCGATTGATTAAAAACATGTTTTTTTTTGTAAAACACTCAACCAATATATAATAATTAGACAACCCTGAGTCTAAAACTGTTTTGTATGGAAATTTAAAAAAGTTTCGGGTATCTTTGGCCACCTTGCTGTAAGCCAAAATATTTAACTTTTTGTGATTATTGCCTTTTATACGTATTCTTTGGCCAGTTTCCTGTCATAGTTCTTAAAGTAAACGGCATTGAGACTATAATTCAAGAGTTATAAGCAGTGGCTAATGTTGACAGAAAGCTGATGTAATTTTGGCCGACTAAAAATATATATTTTTAGGTAAGAAACTGTCCTAATTTTCGCAATTTCCGTGAATTAACATCAACAGTTGAGGTTTCTGGTGTTAAACAAATATGAAAAACTAATACTTTACTAACAGTTTTTTTGGATTGAAAGTTTATTAAGTGCAAAATGTGGCCAATGTTGGCAGGTTTTACGGTACTTAATTATAATTTAGATAGGAAAAAGCTTTTGAGTTTAGTTTTAATGTTTTGTTGTGATACTTTTTCGCGTACATGGAAAGGTAAGTTATTTATTAAATGCGGTATCTAATAAGCGGCTGGCCGTTGCCCGTACACATTATAAGCTGTGAAATGCCGGAGTCGGTTTAGTGTCATATAGTACTGGATGTCCTATATAATATGATTTTAACATTGAGTTATACAACACTAGAGGAGCAAACCACATTACCGCGCGTCGAAGAAAGTATCCAAACGCGACGACGTAGCTTTGAAACTAATAACAATTTTAAATAAATATATATCTATCTCACTTACACAAGTTACGAAAACAATATCGTCGCTAAGATAAGATAAAGATAGACAAACAAACATGCAATGGCGGGTTGGTGTGGCTTACTCACAGATTACCCCCTAATAGATTCCGCATACAGGGTCACAATCGCGCGCAACACATGCTTGCTGTAGCTAGCATAATATGAAGTGACGCTTAGAATCACATCATAATAGACCAAGTTTGTGACCCGTAGGCGCGTCCGAGATTTTGACAATTTAAAAATAGTTTTGTATCCAAAATAAACTACAAGTGGCTTCCTGTGCAGTGAATTGGTGTGGCACGTCAGCTAAGACATCCAGTTATCAAAAAGATGGCATAACATTTCATCGGTAAGTAAATTCTATTCTTATCACGTTAATCTATTTTTTCAAATTCACCGGAGTTCAACTTATACTGGTAATATAATGGTGCAAAGTGATAACAATTAAGCACCCGTTGATGTCTTTTTGAAATGTCCTTTTCACTCATTACATAAATTATAGTAGTTGTCTTTGTCTAACGACAGCACGTGTATCGACAGTGTTGTGAATTATAAGTCGATATTTGTTTGGTCACCATTAACATTTTTTGATGTCATTATTTTATAAAAATAGTGGCGTATAATTGTAGTATTTATGTGTTAAAGGTTTCCTAAATGTCCCGAAAGGAAAAAGATGTGGATCGACGGAACTTTTCGAGGAGACCAATGGTTTCCCACCAAAAATAGTGTGCTATGCTCAAAACACTTCACAGAAGAAAATCTTCATATTATGAAAACGTAGAAGGCTGTTGGATTCCGCTATACCATCTCTATACTTGCCAGTTTTAGTATGTGCTTTTACATTTTTTTTAAAGTACTTATAGTACCAATGTAGATTACATGATAGGTAATAGCATTAAGTACTTATTGTGTAATCTAAATTGGTACTATATGATTGAAACGTGATATTCTAATATTTAGGTGAATGTTAGTCGTCCAAATTAAACTATTTTTAACGGATTTTTAAATCATAAAACAAGTGAAAGTTATAATGTGATTATTGTTTTGACTTGCTATTCTAGTATTATATGAACTTCAGTAATATCTTATGATTATTATTACATACGTCTAAATTTGAAAGACGTACCGTATGGTGTATTAATTAATAATAATACTTTTAGGCACCCGTCCCTACTATAAGTGCAGGTGCAGATATTGCAGCTAAAAATAAGGAAATTCCTGTAGCCGGCACATCGTTTAAAAATGCGGTATGATTATAATAAGGATCAATGATATGATTATAATTTGTATAAATTAGTAATAAACGTATTACAAGTACCTAAATAATTATTGGTGATATTTTAAAAGAAATGAATACGTATTTCAGATTGCTGGTTCACTGCTGAAAGACGCTAATAACCCGCCAACACCTAAAAACCAGAGTCGTTGCTTAGAAACGCTTACAAAACAAAAAAGAAAACTTTCTCCTATTTGTGATACGCCATCTGCATTTGATACTCCAGTTGAAAAACATCATTGTAAACGAATCATCGAATTGACGAACATAGTGAAGAAAAAAGACAAAAAAATTAAGAAGTTAAGCGATTGCAACAGAAGACTAAAAAGACAAATACTTTCTTTGAAGTCATTATTGGCAGAATTACAAAACAAAAATTTATTAACAGCCGAAAACAATGACGCATTAAGTTCCTTAGGAGTCAAATGTGGTGAAATTATAAAAACTGAAGATAGGCGGGTTAACTATGAGATTGGGACGTCAAACACCTCAGTCCACCCCGTGACCATGGTTGCTGTAAAGCACTCTAAACGTCGGGAATTAAAATAAGTTAAGTAAAAGCGATAAAATCTGAATATATAGTTTTATTCAATATGTAGTGGTCGCGTAAATTTGAGAAATCATTAAATGACATGTACAGATATTATATATATATATATATATATATATATATATATATATATATATATATATATATATACAATATAATAAAACAATGTATATATATATTATTATTATTATTTTTATATTTCAAATAAAAATTAATTAATTTATTCATTTATCAATAATAATCAATAAATCCGAAATTTATCGATCTACGTCCCAAACCCCGTTCCATCACTATGGTTTGGTGTATTCTAGGTTCAACCTTGAAATGTCCAACCACAGCGTATTTGACACCTCCCCTGCAACTCACGCATGCCGCAAAATTTGGTGAAATCGAAACAGAACAAATATTCGACTATATCTATTAGGGGGTAATTTATGGGCTTACTATATGAAAATTTACCTAAAATACGCAATAAAATTGTTTTTTTAAGCTGCTGTTAATAATTTTTATATTAAAAAAGTATATTTTCTTTTAAAATATATATTGCGTCCCCTTAGAAAAAAAGGATACAAAGCTTATCAGATGAATAGAAGTGAACATAATGATAAAATAAAACATATTTTTATTTTTTTCGTAGTATTTTTATTGTACTAATAAATCAAGCAATATAAAATAGGTAATAAAATATATTTAATAGATAATTCATGAATAAACTAAAATAAGAATAATTAATTATTTTGTATGAATGTTAAAACGTAGTTTTTATTATAATTTCCAAAATATTTAAAATCAGAGTGTTAATGCTCATTGCTGCTACTTGTTGCTATTTAAATATCACAGGAACTTATTATTTTATCAATAATAATCATTGTGTTACTACCGTCAGATATCTACACAATATTCTCTCATTGTTAACACGATAGACATCTTTCTAAAACTGTGCTATAAAATAATCTCAATAAACGGATTACTAAGAACTGTTTTAAGTGTTTTTCTTATGTTCATCTGAGACATAATTTGGTGACCCCGGCGTGATCACGGAAAATAAAGTTCAACGGAAATATCTGATAAAATAAACTATCACCATTTCATGTAAGAAGTTGTAACTAATTATTATTGCAAGACGATTACCTATGGAAGCTAAAAATACAAATTCGCCGTGTAA